GTACTTTCTCACTTAAATTAACATATTTAAATTAACATATTTCCGAAGATATGCACCCTCATATGATAATCCTTCAACCTTGTGAGGCTGATATTTACAAATGAACTCAACCGTACCATAGAAGACGGACAGTGGGACCAAGCTATACTTCTAGTCAGACTAGGAGGAATCGGTGTTCGCAAGGCATCCTGGATTACACTACCTGCACTCCTGTCTTCGTGTGGCATCCAGTGAACTTGTAGCAGCAATTCTCCCTGAACACCTTAGGGACAGTGTTGAAGTTTTTGACCAAAAGTTCGTTGACGGAGCGATGTTCTGGGATAATCTAATGGGCTCTGAAACCAGACCTGCTCCCCCAAAACTACAGTCACACCTTCAACAATGCTTCAGACTGTGTATGGGTAAGATTGAGCCTGCTTCTTAGTAGTGAGAGCTTCTCATGCAGGGGTATTTCCTGTTGGCTGCCCCAACTCCTCCCTTGGCACACATCTAGACCCGCCGACCATCTGCATTGGTGTTTCCCTTTGCCTTGCTGCCTCTAGCCTTGCGGTAGTGAACCGGCAGACTGATTCAGGTACCTTGGTTTTGTTTGCCGTAGATCCGAGGGTAAGATTACAAGGCATGAAGAGGTTAATAAAATCATCAAGAAGAGCTTGGCAACAGCCGGATGCCCAGCAATAAGGGAGCCAACTCAACTATGCAGATCTGATGGCAACCAAAAGCGTCCAGATGGTATCACTCTTCAAGGCTGGACAGACGGCAAGCAGGTGGTGTAGAACTACACATGTTCATCCACATTGGCTAATACCTATCTCGATTACACCAGGGAGGAAGGAAGGGCAGCTGCCAACTTCAGAGAATCCCAAAAGTCTAGAAAATATGGTGAGTCTTTCGCTAGGCAAAAGACTCATCAGGGTAACTAGGGATCCCAGGACAGCTAGTTTTCTGTTCCAGCGACTCAGCGCTGCAGTTCAAAGAGGGTGATGCCCGCTGTATCCTGGGTACGCACCCAAGCTCTGAGGAACTGGATCAGATTTTTACTTTGTAATTTTTGACAAACACGTATTAATATGTACTTGTATCTCTCAAACCTCATGTACTGTATATGCCATCTTTGTGCCAACAATATATCTTTTAAGCCTTGTGTGACATATTACGTAATTAAATATACCTATTGATAAAATAAAGGAAGGAGTGGCAAAAAAGTGGAATATTCAAGTGGTTTTAGAAAGAAATCCAAATATTTTTCCTTGAAGCCCTTTTATCCACTTCTCCAAGGCTATGGGTCCCACAATTTTCACTAACGTGTGTGCATGTGTGTGTGTGTATGTGTATACTCACCTATTTGTGGTTGCAAGGGTCGAGTCATAGTTCCTGGCCCCGCCTCTTCACTGATCGCAACTGGGTCCTCTCACTCCCTGCTCCATGAGCTTTATCATACCTCGTCTTAAAACTATGTATGGTCCTTGCCTCCACTACATCACTTGCCTGACTATTCCACTTCCTGACAACTCTATGACTGAAAAAACTCTTCCTAACATCCCTTGTTTCTGTGTCCCATCTCTGGAACATCCTGTCTCTAGCCACCTTGTCAATTCCTCGCAGTATTTTGTATGTCGTTATCATGTCTTTCCTAATCCTCCTGCCCTCCAGTGTCGTCAGGCCGATTTCATTTAACCTTTCTTCGTAGGACATTCCACTTAACTCTGGAACTCGTCTTGTCGCAAACCTTCGCACTTTCTCAAATTTTTTGATGTGCTTGACCAGGTGTGGGTTCCAATCTGGGGCTGCATACTCCAGTATGGACCTGATGTACACGGTGTACAGTCTTGAACGATTCCTTAATGATGTATCGGAACGCTATTCTCAGGTTTGCCAGGCGCCCATATACTGCAGCAGTTATCTGGTTGATGTGCGTCTCAGGAGATGTGCTCGGTATTATACTTACCCCAAGATCCTTTTCCTTGAGTGAGGTTTGCAGTCTTTGGCCACCTAACCTATACTCAGCCTGCGGTCTTCTTTACCCTTCGGCGATCTTCATGACTTCGCATTTGGCAGGATTAAATTCGAGAAGCCAGTTGCTGGACCTCGTGTCCAGCCTGTCCAGGTCTCTCTGTAGTCCTGCCTGATCCTCATACCATTTAATTCTCCTCATTAACTTCACATCATCTGCGAACAGGGACTCTTCTGAATCTATCCCTTCCGTCAGGTCATTCACGTATACCAAAAACAACACTGGTCCTAGGACTGACTCCTGTGGAATCCCGCTCGTGAGTGTGTGTGTGTGTGTGTGTGTGTGTGCGCGCGCGCGCGCGCGCGCGTGTGTGTGTGTGTGTGTGTATGTGTGTGTGTGTGTGTGTGTGTGTGTGTGTGTGTGTGTGTGTGTGTACTCACCTAGTTGTACTCACCTAGTTAAGGTTGCGGGGGTCGAGTCCGAGCTCCTGGCCCCGCCTCTTCACTGATCGCTACTAGGTCACTCTCCCTGAGCCGTGAGCTTTATCATACCTCTGCTTAAAGCTATGTATGGATCCTGCCTCCACTACATCGCTTCCCAAACTATTCCACTTACTGACTACTCTGTGGCTGAAGAAATACTTCCTAACATCCCTGTGATTCATCTGTGTCTTCAGCTTCCAACGTGTCCCCTTGTTACTGTGTCCAATCTCTGGAACATCCTGTCTTTGTCCACCTTGTCAATTCCTCTCAGTATTTTGTATGTCGTTTTTCATGTCCCCCCTATCTCTCCTGTCCTCCAGTGTCGTCAGGTTGATTTCCCTTAACCTCTCCTCGTAGGACATACCTCTTAGCTCTGGACTAGTCTTGTTGCAAACCTTTGCACTTTCTCTAGTTTCTTCACGTGCTTGGCTAGGTGTGGGTTCCAAACTGGTGCCGCATACTCCAATATGGGCCTAACATACACGGTGTACAGGGTCCTGAATGATTCCTTATTAAGATGTCGGAATGCTGTTCTGAGGTTTGCTAGGCGCCCATATGCTGCAGCAGTTATTTGGTTGATGTGCGCTTCAGGAGATGTGCCTGGTGTTATACTCACCCAAGATCTTTTTCCTTGAGTGAGGTTTGTAGTCTCTGACCCCCTAGACTGTACTCCGTCTGCGGCCTTCTTTGCCCTTCCCCAATCTTCATGACTTTGCACTTGGTGGGATTGAACTCCAGGAGCCAATTGCTGGACCAGGTCTGCAGCCTGTCCAGATCCCTTTGTAGTTCTGCCTGGTCTTCGATCGAGTGTATTCTTCTCATCAACTTCACGTCATCTGCAACAGGGACACCTCAGAGTCTATTCCTTCCGTCATGTCGTTCACAAATACCAGAAACAGCACTGGTCCTAGGACTGACCCCTGCGGGACCCCGCTGGTCACAGGTGCCCACTCTGACACCTCGCCACGTACCATGACTCGCTGCTGTCTTCCTGACAATATTCCCTGATCCATTGTAGTGCCTTCCCTGTTATCCCTGCTTGGTCCTCCAGTTTTTGCACCAATCTCTTGTGTGGAACTGTGTCAAACGCCTTCTTGCAGTCCAAGAAAATGCAATCCACCCACCCCTCTCTCTCTTGTCTTACTGCTGTCACCATGTCATAGAACTCCAGTAGGTTTGTGACACAGGATTTCCCGTCCCTGAAACCATGTTGGCTGCTGTTGATGAGATCATTCCTTTCTAGGTGTTCCACCACTCTTCTCCTGATAATCTTCTCCATGATTTTGCATACTATACATGTCAGTGACACTGGTCTGTAGTTTAATGCTTCATGTCTGTCTCCTTTTTTAAAGATTGGGACTACATTTGCTGTCTTCCATGCCTCAGGCAATCTCCCTGTTTCGATAGATGTATTGAATATTGTTGTTAGGGGTACACATAGAGCCTCTGCTCCCTCTCTCAATGTGTGTGTGTGTGTGTGTGTGTGTGTGTGTGTGTGTGTGTGTGTGTGTGTGTGTGTGTGTGTGTGTGTGTGTGTGTGTGTGTGTGTGTGTGTGTGTGTCTGTGTCTGTGTATCTGTGTGTGTACTCACCTAATTGCACTCACCTAATTGTGGTTGCAGGGGTCGATACACACCCCCTGGCCCCGCCTCTTCACTGATCGCTACTAGGTCCTCTCTCTCTCTGCTTCCAGAGCTTTGTCATACCTCGTCTTAAAGCTATGTATGGTTCCTGCCTCCATTACATCACTTGTTAGGCTATTCCACTTCCTGACGACTCTATGACTGAAGAAATACTTCCTAACATCCCTATGACTCGTCTGAGTCTTCAGCTTCCAATTGTGACCCCTTGTTTCTGTGTCCCCTCTCTGGAACAACAGTATTTTGTATGTCGTTATCATGTCTCCCGTGACCCGCTTGTCCTCCAATGTCGTCAGTCCGATTTCCCTCAACCTTTCTTCGTAGGACATACCCCTGAGCTCCGGAACTAGCCTTGTTGCAAACCTTTGCACTTTCTCTAATTTCTTGACGTGTTTACCCAGTTGTGGGTTCCAAACTGGAGCTGCATACTCCAATATGGTCCTGATGTACACAGTGTACAGTGTCTTGAATGATTCCTTACAAAGGTATCGGAACGCTATTCTCAGGTTTGCCACGCGCCCGTATGCTGCTCTGTGTGTGTTAGTTACCATTTGGTCCTAGGCACATGTCGATTAGACACTAGGCCTGTTGTATGTGAATGCGTGTGTGTGTGTGTGTGTGTGTGTGTGTGTGTGTGTGTTTTGGGGTGTGTGTGTGTGTGTGTGTGTGTATGTGTGTGTGTGTGTGTGTGTGTGTAGTGTGTGTGTGTGTGTGTGTGTGTGTGTGTGTGTGTGTGTGTGTGTGTGTGTGTGTGTGTGTGGGGTGTGTGTGTGTGTGTGTGTGTGTGTGTGTGTGTGTGTGTGTGTGTGTGTGTGTGTGTGTGTGTAGTGGCCAACACAGCAGCAGAGAGGTAGTCAGCTCATCTACCGGACCTTCTACTATTTCATCGAAACAAGTCTGACGAACAAAATACTAAGTGACTTACCTAGAACACCGAGGCGGAAGTTGACTGTGACTACCACCACACGACCGTAGGCGGCCAGCACGGATCCGTCGTACGGGTTGCCGCTGTTCCACTCGTACGACTCCCCGTGGATGTACGCCAGCACTGGTAGTCGCTCGGTACTCGTCGGTGACCCCGGCCGTAGTTCATCTGAAGGAGGGAGAAAGATATGGGTGATTGACAGCTCCTGAAGTGCGGAGGGGTAGGGTTGTGATATTAGTGGGGGGTAGAAAGGGGGGAAATGAGAGAGAGGGAATGATAGAGTGAGTATTAGTAAAGAGGAAGTGTTAGTAGAGAGAGGAGAGAGAGAGGGAGAGATGTTAGAGACAGGGGTAATAGGAGAGAGGGAGGGAATGATGTTAGATAGGGAGTGTTGGTAAAGAGGGAGGGAGTGTTGATAAAGAGGAAGGGAGTGTTGATAGAGAGGAAGGGTGTGTTGATAGCTTGGGAAGGAGTATGGACTGAGAGTGCCTGTGAGTGGTAGTGAGAGTACCTGTGAGTGGTAGTGAGAGTGCCTGTGAGTGGCAGTGAGTGCCTGTGAGTGGTATTAGAGTGCTTGTGAGTGGTAGTGAGAGTGCCTGTGAGTAGTAGTGAGAGTACCTGTGCGTGGTAGTGGGAGTGCCTGTGAGTGGTGTGAGAGTTCCTGTGAGTGGTAGTGAGAGTGCCTGTGAGTGGTATGAGTGCCTGTGAGTGGTATGAGAGTGCATGTGAGTGGTAGTAAGAGTGCATGTGAGTGGTATGAGAGTGCCTGTGAGTGGTAGTGAGAGTGCTTGTGAGTGGTATGAGAGTGCCTGTGAGTGGAAGTGAGAGTGCCTGTGAGTGGTATGAGAGTGCCTGTGAGTGGTTGTGAGAGTGCCTGTGAGTGGTAGTGAGAGTGCCTGTGAGAGGTAGTGAGAGTGCCTGTGAGTGGTATGAGAGTGCCTGTGAGTGGTAGTGAGAGTGCTTGTGAGTGGTATGAGAGTGCCTGTGAGTGGAAGTGAGAGTGCCTGTGAGTGGTAGCGAGAGTGCCTGTGAATGGTAGTGAGAGTGCCTGTGAGTGGTAGTGAGAGTACCTTTGAGTGGTAGTGAGAGTACCTGTGAGTGGTAGCGGGAGTGCCTCTGAGTGGTAGTGGGAATGCCTCTGAGTGGTAGTGGGAATGCCTCTGAGTGGTAGTGGGAGTGCCTCTGAGTGGTAGTGAGAGTACCCGCGAGTGGTAGTGGGAGTGCCTGTGAGTGGTAGTGGGAGTGCCTGTGAGTGGTAGTGGGAGTGCCTGCGAGTGGTAGTGGGACGTGGTGGACTGTCAGTAGATGCAGGAGAGTCGGTTGAGAGAGAGAGACTGATATGAAGGGGAAGGGAGGGAGGGACTAGTTACATATATACTTTACAGATATAAGATTACAATAACTAAAGATCCCTGGTATCTCCTATGATAGGGCATATGCATAAAAAGCGAAAATGCCTAAGTTTTGCGAAAAATAGGCCGAAAATCTGGTTAAATCCCCTCACTGCAGTGGCCAGCGGTATCCTGGTATCTGCTTCCAGGCTACTCAGGATGTCAACTTGTTGACTTCTAAAGAAGTGATCACAGTCCCTAGACCGAAACGTTTTCCAATAATTATGTCCTAGTGTTTGTTTACGTGTTTTTCTAAACCAATTTGTCGGTATCTATCACCAAGTTTTATACCAGAAATGGGAATATCTAAATATATAAGTAGTAGCAGTGGTACTCTGCATTAGAGGTAGTGGATAACAAGTATCTCCATCTACCCATCACTCTCCTATAAATTTCATGCCTTTTCATTATGTCATTGAAAGTTTTCCCTCTGTTTCATGCGTGAAGTGGCAGGAGAGAGATGATGGGGAGAGAGCCTTCTGTTTTATTATCTTTGCTTTAAACATCTATGTAATTCATGACAGGCCTTAAGTGGAACGTCTTGAAAAAATTGCTGAAGTAAATATATGATACCTTGTACATGTATGGAATACAACACAGACGAAATGAGGTGATCAGTCCCTCAGCCTTCAAGGCTGAGGGACTGATTACCTCATGTTTTGTATATAATTCTTCATATTTTGTCCTTGTATTGTACTGATAAAGTCACTGGATGGTGAAACCTTTACAATAAAGACCCAGATGTTGCACAGGTGTGTCTAATTTTCATATAATACCTTGTAGACTTTTGATAAAAAAGAATTTGAATGTATTTATTTAACAAGTAATATAGGAAGTAGTAACATGAACTATTCTTAAAATGGTCAGCAAAATAGTTAGTAAATTTGCTGTACAGTTCTGGCGTGCAATGATGATTTTTGCAATAATTTTTTTTAGTTTAATATTTTACAATAATTCTTTGTCGCATAAAAATGTTGCAACATTTTTTTTAGTTGATACAAGAGCAATTTTTTAATTCTTTCTTTGACTTTGAGAATATCAAAACTATTAGTTTCAAAGGAGAGAAGTCTTTTACAAGTCAATCTTTCTTTATAAATTTCTCAAAATCTATCTTGGTTAAATTTTTAAATTCTTCTAACATGTAAACAACATTAAATACGCCCAGTGAAGGAGAGTAATTATGCAACACCCAAGTGTTATACAACTGTCTTATTTATTAACTTACCGGGTTTCTAAGTCATTTATTTAAACGATGATATTAAAAATCCAATGTATAACATTTCCGGATATCGAAGTTCTTAGTTCTCCTGTCTAATAAGTTTGGAAAGTCTGAGTTTCTGTTATACCAGCATAAATTCACTGGAAAATAATTGATAAAATGCAGAATTCAACATAAAGTTATGATATAAACGGATTAGAAATCAACAGGTTGAAGAATGAGACACTTTGGTAATACTGGGGGTATAATTAGTGTGGAAAAATTCGCCAGCCAGTGACTTTCTCAGTCCAATACAGAGGTGATTAGGGGAAGATGAATAGGAGTTTGAGGTAATCAGTCCCTCAGCCTGGAGTCAATGTATGGAGTTCATTATTCATGATAGACTATACGTATCGATTACTGGCTGAGAGACTGACTGCTTCAAACTCGTCTTCTACCATTCTTCTCTGTATTAGACTGATGAAGCTATTGACTATCGATACGTTTCCACAATAAAGATTCCTAAATATTGTACAAGTGTATCAGTCATCATCATGCAGTTAAATAACAATTATCTAACCAGATATCTGAAGTTTAAAATGAAGAATTTATACTGGGTAAGAAATGCTTATCCTGTTTCTTAAAACACACACTACTTGCAGCAGGTAGCCTCCGTGTGAACCTTAAGTCTTCTGTTGTTTGTCTTTCCCATGAACACAAACTCTCTCTCTTTCTTTCTCTCTCTCTCTCTCTCTCTCTCTCTCTCTCTCTCTCTCTCTCTCTCGTCCTTTGCTGAGAGCAAACTTGTTCCACTCGTGGAGAAAGTCAGAGGTGTGGAGTCTTGCTATTTTTTTCAGTAAACTGTGCAAACTTGAGTCCCTCGGGACCTACCAAGTTGGAGAAACCCCTGCTCTAGGGACCTGCTTCTGGGACCTCTGGATCTCGGGTCCTTCTCCTGGGAACCCTGGATCTAGGGTCTTATTTCTGGGATCCTCGGCTCTAGGAACCTGCTTCTTGGAACCCAGGATCTAGGGACTTGCTTTAGGGGCCTACTTGTAGGACCCACAGCTCTAGATTAGCCTGTAGGATTGCTAATTCTAGAGACCTGGTTCTGGGACCCCAATTTTAGGAACCATCTTCACTGACTCTTATTTACAGAGCCTTCCTTCTGTGAACATAATTCTAAGAACTTATTCATGGCCCTCCATTTCTAGGAAAATATGTGTGGGTTCCCGGCTCTAGGTACCTGTCTCTGTGTCCCCGGCTCCGGGTACCCGTTTCTGACTCCCCGGCTCTAGGTACCTGCTTCCGAAACCCATGATATTCGGTGCAAGTTTCTCAAAATTCCAGATATAGGGATATACTCCGGGTTCCTGGCTCCAGGAACTTGTTCGTGTGTCCCATCCTCCAGGTACCTGTCCCTGTGTCCCCTCCTCCAGCTACCAGTTCCTGTGTCCCCTCCTCCAGGTACCTGTTCACGTGTCCCTTCCTCCAGGTACCTGTTCCTGTGTCCCCTCCTCCAGATACCAGTTCCTGTGTCCCCTCCTCCAGGTACCTGTTCATGTGTCCCTTCCTCCAGGTACCTGTTCCTGTGTTCCCTCCTCCAGATACCTGTTCATGTGTCACCTCCTCCAGGTACATGTTCTTGTGTCCCTTCCTCCAGGTACCTGTTCCTGTGTCCCCTCCTACAGATACCTGTTCATGTGTCACCTCCTCCAGGTACCTGTTCTTGTGTCCCCTCCTCCAGGTACCTGTTTATGTGTCTCCTCCAGGTTGGTTTAGAAAGACACGTAAGCAAACACTGTAACATATTTATTAGAAAACGTTTCGGTCCTGGGGCCTTGATCACTTCTAACATACAGAGGTAGAAAGACATTATATATATAGGCGGAGAGTGAGATGTGACGCACGTGACCTGAGGAATGTCATAAGAACATAAGAATGGAGGAACACTGTAGAAGGCCTACTGGCCCATGCGAGGCAGGTCCTTATCAAAACAACCTCTACCTATGATGAGGTACCTGTTCCTGTGTCCCCTCCTGCAGGTACCTGTTCATGTGTTCCCGGCTCCCGGTACCTGTTCCTGTGTCCCCTCGTCCAGGTACTTGCTCCTGTGCCCCCTCCTCCAGGTACCTGTTCCTGTGTCCCCTCCTCCAGGTACCTGTTTCCGTGTCCCCTCTTCCAGGAACCTGTTCCTGTGTCCCCTCCTCCAGGCACCTGTTCCTGTGTCCCCTCCTCCAGGTACCTGTTCATGTGTCCCCGGCTCTAGGTACCTGTTCCTGTGTCCCTTCCCCCAGGTACTTGTTCCTGTGTCCCCTCCTCCAGGTACCTGTTCCTGTGTCCCCTCGTCCAGGTACCTGTTCCTGTGTTGCCTCCTCCAGGTACCTGTTCCTGTGTCCCCTCCTCCAGGTACCTGTTCATGTGTCCCCGGCTCTAGGTACCTGTTCCTGTGTCCCTTCCCCCAGGTACCTGTTCATGTGTCCCCGACTCCAGGTACCTGTTCCTGTGTCCCTTCCTCCAGGTACTTGTTCCTGTGTCCCCTCCTCCAGGTACCTGTTCCTGTGTCCCCTCGTCCAGGT